GGCAGCGGTGGGAGAAGGAGCCTAGATTAAATTGCAGGAATTAACGGGGACCACCTCCCTTATCTGTTTACCTCAGGCTTCCAAACCTGAGGAGGTGAGGAATGCTGTACGGCATGGCCGTTTCCAGCGTGCGGCCCCGTGGTGGGCAGTCATCACCACGGCCAGGCCGGGTGTTGGTGGTGGCCGCTTATGCCTTTGCTGAGAAAAGCTCCTTTCCCCCTGCTCGCTTCACTTCTTTCTGTCTCCTTTCCACCTTACTTCCTTCTTTCCCCTCTGCCCTTTCTGGTGTCAGATACTCCTTTGCTTGGTCTGGGCCAGGGGTCCTCAAACTTTTTAAACAGGGGGCCAGTTCACTGTCCCTCAGACCGTTGGAAGGCTGGACTATAGTTTAAAAAAAACTATGAACAAATTCCTATGCACACTGCACATATCTTATTTTGAAGTAAAAAAAAACAAAATGGGAACAAATACAATATTTGTATTTGCATGTGGCCCGCGGGCCGTAGTTTGAGGACCCCTGGTCTGGGCCGTGGGCCTTTCCGTCCCTTGCTTTAAGACCTGCCACCCCCACCTGGGCACCTCATTTATGCCTGCCCCTGCCATGGAACCTTTGCCCATGGGACCCTTGTGAGCCAGCTCGGCCTTGGCAGCCCAAGTGCTGGGCCCCTGCCAGGAGCTGTGTGTGTGACCCGACAGTGCCCAGCTGGACCCCACAGGCCAGGCCCAGGCTCTGCTCCCCAAAGAAGCAAGGCCCAAGGGTTTTCCATTGGCTGCAGCCTGGCAGAGGGGACTGGGCTTTGAGGGGATGGGGAGCGGGGAGCAGGGAGAAAGCCACCCTTCCTGTGGTGCCTGCTGATAATTGGCTCTCCGGAACCAGCTTGGGACACAAGGGCCAGCTGGGTCAGGAAGTGGTGCACAATGCTGCTCTTTCAGGGGGCACACTGCATGGTCTCAGGTCCCGTGTGACTCCAGGGAAATCTGGAAAACAGTCTGTTCTCAGAGGATGTTCTCTAACCTAGACCGGAGGTGAGAAATTGAGCCCTGAACTTCCCACCCTCTGCCCTGGCAGGGCCCCCAGCCATTGCCCAGTTCAGAACCCAGTTATTTCTTTCAGAGAGCGTCTGGGGAGGGGAGGAAAAGGAAGCAGATTTCCTCAAGAGGCCATGAATCACGGACCTTGTAGTCTGGAGAGGGGGGAAGCCAGTAGCCTTAATGATTTATTAAGGCTGTAAGCCCTGCCTTAGCAACTGCGGGCCCTTGGGGGGTCTTTGCCCTGGGGATTTTAATCTGGGTGGGGAGGTAAGACGATATAACATACTAAGTGTGAAACTCATGAAGAGAAATAGGAATTCAAAAAAAGAAGAAATGGAGCAGTTATTGGCCTGTGCTGGGAAGGATTTGAGATGAAGAAGAAAGTGGAGGAGTGTGTCACACAGGCTGGAATCCCAGACACCAAGTATAATGTGAGTGTGGGAAACTGGCCATAGCCGAGAACTTCTGCCCTGGAAACGTCCCTATGTCTGACGTCCCGGGGGGCCCCAGCAGACCCATAGCTTGCTGTTATCGGCCCAGGATGTGGAGGCTCAGCCCTGCCTCAGCCCAGAAAGCCTTGCCATGGAAACCTTGGGCAGTGGGCCCCCGTCTCGAGCTTGACTCTGCCTCTCAGGAGTTCTCCTGGGAAAGGATTGGTTGGAGGACATCAGTCCTGTCGGCTGCCATATGTGGGTGCTCCTGTGAGCCTGTGGAGCTGCAAGAGAAAGGAGTGGGGCCGTCCTGACAAGGGCAGGCAAGGCTTGCAGGTGTCTTATCGTTGTTGGTTTGGGAAGAAACATTGTTCCACAGCCCAGTGCTAGGCTGGGCCTTTTGTCAGTGCTAAACTCGTGCTGGGGACTGTGACTCTGAATGTCCACATGGAAGTGGTACCACACTTTCTTTCATCAGGGCACTAAGCAGCAACTCCTGAAACTCAGGAGGATGAAGGGGCATTTGTATTAGGACGCTTCCCTGCTCAAGAGGCTTCTGTGGCTCCCTAGTATCCTTCAGGTCACAATTTCCTATCTTGATATCCAAAGCCCTCCATCATCTGAGGGCCTTTACAGAGTCTAAATATTGGAAGGGACCCAGAAGTCTAACTAATCTAGCCAGAGCCGATCAGTCTTTTTCACAATAACCCTGAGGAGAGGTTGCCTCACTTCTGCCTGTATGCGTCTATGCATCTAGTAATGGGTAAGTCTGTCTTTCATGAGATGCCCTTACATTTATCCAGAAATGGCCTGCCTGGGCTTGTGCCCATGGGTCTAGGATTGATCCTCTGGAGTTATTCCTCTCCCACACAACCGCCCTTCAGATTACTGATATTCCTCTAAGTTTTCTTCGGGTCCCACATCCATCCCCATTTCAGGTCACCCTTTTTTAGAGGTGGTCTAGTTTGTCAGTTCCCCTCTCTGAAGCCTGAAACTGCCTAGTATTTTTAATGTTTACATGGGAATTGCTCTGCATAGTGAGTTGGACACGCCCCCTCGTTCCAGACCCTATATATCCCTTTTAATACATCAGTCTCTGACTTGCATTTTGACCAGCCACACCAAAATGTTGCTTCTGTCAAGTTGGTAGCCAAATAAAACACTGAAATTGTTCTCACAATTGCTGCTTTGAGGCATTTTTCCCCTGTGACAGTGAGTTTAGATCTAAATATAGGAAATTTCCCTTGTACCTACTGGATTGCATCTTGTGAGGTTTAACCCGCTTTTCCAATGTATGGAAATCGTTTGGATTCTGATTCTGTTTCTGTGGTATGGAGGGCCGTGCCTAGTGTGGGATCATGTCCCAGTGCCCGAGCCGTAGGGCCACACTGCAGGCCTGAGTCCCACTCCACACCGGCTCGGGGAGTGGCCGTGAGCAATTTGCTTCACCTCTCCAAGCCTTGGCTTCTTTTTCTCTAGAATGGAGCTAATTGGTATTAATGCTCGCCCGCTTATAGGATGCGGAGTTATGACTTTAACGAGATAATTCATACAAAATGTTTATTAGCACAGGGCCTGGTAGTAAGCATGCATTCGCTGCATAATCATGATGGTTGTAACCACTGCTACTGGCTAGTTCACGTCCTCATTCTTTTTAAAATGGCCATGTCTCACCCCAAGTCCTCCTGGCCTCATTGTCCTTTGCTTAACAATGTCTCCTCAGCCTGAGGTACCTGCTTCTATTCTCCCCCTTGTGTAATTTCAAAGTCTCTGCAGCATCTTGGATGCCTCCCCTGCTGTGTCCCTGTAAATGGGAGCTCCTACGGGCCAATCCTATTGAAATCCATTTCATAGTCCACTTAGTACAGGGTTCTAAACATTTCCACATCTATCATGTTGGTTGAGGCCTTTATTCTTTCACTCCTGTCTGCTATTACTAGTAAGAACTTCCTCCTTCAGCTCTACCTCCAGACTCCATCCTCCTCTCCTCCAGCTCTCACACGGCTGCTGGCCGGTCTTCCTCCAGCTGCTCTGTCTTCCCCTGCCCACTCAGAAGCACACTGGCCTTCACAATCAGCAGCACCTCTCGTCTGGCATCATCCCTCTTCTTCCCTTGCATAGATGCCGCCCTCCAGCTAAACTTGCCTGCCTGCTCCAGGCCTTTCCGCTCTGCACTTTTCCTTGTGGTGCTCTCTGCCGGGAGGGCCTGTCCCCCTCTTCCCTGACCTCCATGGTTCAGGATGGGCTTGCAGATCTAGATCTAGTCGACCACACGGTTAGAAGTGGATAGTGTGACCTTGGGCAAGTTGCTTAGCCTTTCTGTGCAGCAGTCATAGGGCCCCTGAGTTTGCAATGCAGTGAAAATAAAAGAAGTAGATATATTGCAGGGGATGGCACCTGGGAAAAGTTACCCCTCTCTTTCTCTAAGTAGTCTTTCCTGAGCAGCATCACCATTTCAAGGGATTTCTCCCTCCTTAAACATTTAGAGCACAGAACAGTTTCCCCATCCAGACAGACAGACACACACACACACACACACGCACACACACATACACACACACACAGTCTATAGATATAAACTCATAGTATTTTATTTTGCTTAAAGGAATTTTGAGGACTTTTATTTTTTTGCAAGCAAGGCTTATAATGATCACAAGCTTGGACACTTGGTTGATCAGCATCTACACTAATAAAATACAAACATGCAAATTGACTGTACCTTCGCTATGCCTTAAGCCACACCCACCAGCCAATCAGAGGGATTATATGCAAATTAACCCTACCAAGATGGCTGCCAGCAGCCATGGAGCTGGAGCAAGCAGGAGGCTTGCTTGCCCCAATGATGGAGGAAGCCAAGCTGCCGCAGCAGCTCTGAGCTCCACTCAAAGCAACAAAGTTTCAATTATAAAAGGTAAATAAACCCCAGATACCTGCTTTCAGCCAACTATGGCCATGAAGCTGAGGCGAGCAGGAGGCTTCCCTCCTGCCCGCCCTGGCTGCCTCTGAGCTCCACTCAAAACAACAAAGTTTCAATTGCAGAAGGTAAATAAGTCCCAGAATTTAAAAAAAAGGAAAAAAGGAGGGGCTTGGCCAGCCTGAAAACGGCCCTCAGCCCCTCACCCAGACTGGCCAGGCACCCCAGTGGGGACCCCCAC